CTGCAATACCTTGAAAAACCTCCTCGATGCAGCATTCGTAGGACTAACCATATCCGTCACCCCAAGGGACCCCAAGCGCAATCCATGCAGCTCAGTAGGCCTTTGCCTGCGAACCATCAACGCTTCACCTTAATCTGAGCAAACAGCGCTAGAAGCTTCTATGAGCCCATGAAAGCTCATGATCAGACGTACGCCCCAGGATTGCCTTGGGCAACCCATCCTCGGAGGGCTGCCGCTTCCTGCGCGCTGAAATGCCGTCTGGGCACAGCCTGATGTCCCTTGAGAGAGTTTCAAGGGTTTAGAGTCGACACGTTATCTTCTCAACTCTGGAGCATTTTAGGTGACAAAGGTGGGCAACAAGGAGTATCCGGTTAGGGATTGAGCTACGTAGGGTTTAGGCTTCAGAGCTTAGAGTTTAGGACAGTGTCCGCACTCTCTACATTAACATGAACTTCCACAAAGAGCCGTGCTACAGCCTTCAAACAAAAGCCCAACTAGTTCATTCGAAGATGTATATGGCTTAGCGTTTAAGAGCTTCTGGGACACAACATGTAGCATTTTGGCAGGGTGAGCAACTACCCAGACCCTGCGATGCAGTCCTGTTTCTGGTACCCAGGTGATACTGATGCTTTGGGTCATATAGTACGGGTTCACATGTGTTGCAGGCTTTAGGTCAAGGCTAGATGCAAAGCAGCTGACGAACCCGAGTCTGCGAGAGAGAGAGAGGTCCTAGCCTTGAACCCTGAACCCCCCCTGACGTCTAGGTCTAGGTGCATAGCTGCATAGCAGGTTCTCAACATCCTCGGGGAAATCCGTAGAAGTGAACACCAGAATTCTTCCGTAATCCTTGAACTTCATCCGTCTGCCTGAGGGTACCACGAATTCGAGAAGCCCCTCATAGCAGTAGCGTCAAAACTTCTTTTCAGTTTTTGAGACCCTAGGGCATTTGTACATGGAATGCAGGGTTTGTGGCCTCTAAGGCCCAAACTCTAAACTTGAAGCCTAGCCGACTGGAATGAAAGCGGGCCTTAAGCATAAAGGTGCAGCTTTTGGAAGTGGAATGCCTGCGAGTGCTCACAGATCTCACCCTAAAACTCACTCCTTAAACCTCCTCGGTGGGCTCTTCAGGTGGGAGATATCGGGCGTCTTTCAAGGACATACGCATCATGCACGAAATGTATCGAGGTAAATAGGCAACAAATTGAGCAGATGAAGGGACCACCAGCTTGAATATCCTAAATCCAAAGCCCCACAGCCTAAACCAGGATCCCCGACCTATGAACACAAAGCCTTAAGCCTTAAAGCCGAGTTCTTGACGCTAGCATTACGGACTTGGAAGATGGCGGCTGATGTGTGGCATGATAATGCTCCCTCAAACATCCAGAGTTTAGGGCAGATAAGAACTAGGAGGATTGTGGCAGCCTGAGGGCCCCCAAATAGGGCCCTAGCAAAGTCTATGACTATCATAGGGTCTTACCCAAGCTAGCTTTAGAATGTATATTGGATGATGTGGGTTCCAAGGCCAGCCAAAGACTGTTCACCACATGGAGACTACACAGCAATTTTCGCCGTAACATGAAGACCACTGTTGTTGCATGACTTGTTGAGCTTTTCAGGTAGTACAAAGTTTGGACACAGAGGTGCGGAAACCTCACTAGCAGTGCCAGGGTTGTCCTCGTCCAATCCATTGGCAGTTAGATGTCCTTGTCTGCGGTTCCTGCATTTGCTGGCTCCACAGGAACTGGATAAACAATTTCCCATGAGAACTGAGACTCAGACGTCTAGAAAGCAGTTGGGCGCGCAAAGGTAGTCTATGGAGGGGCTAGCCTTTAAACCGGTCGCTTTTCTTCCGTGGATAAGAGTTAGGTCATGTATTTCGGTGTATGTTAACCTTTTGCTGGTATTTAGTCTCTGTAGCGCCCATTTTGGGCTCCCATGTTAGTTTGGGCAGGTAGTTGTTTCCATTGTCTTTCCCGTTCTTTGCTTGCGGCCCCGCTCGGAACATCTCGTAGTAGTTGGGGGATATGTCGGAGATCTTGCGTTCTCTTGGAGAAAATTCGTCGTCAAGGCTCGAATAGCTAAGGACTGAAGAGGGCAGGTAGGGGCTTGCGTCATGGGAACCTCCGAAAAACTGACTTGGGCATCCGAACGACCAGGCGCTAGAAGAAGAGCCCACGAGCTCTGCAAGCCAAAGCCAATCCAGCTAAACCAGCCGCTGCAGTGAGCCGGACGGTCTTGCGCCCATGCGCTTTGAACAGCTTGTCCTCCCAGGGATAGTTTGGGCATGGATGCTCAGGTAAAGTACACAAGGGAACACAAACGCTACCATAGTTTGGGCATGGGTGCCTTAGTAACCGCATACTTGAGATCACAAACGCTACTATGCTTTGGGCATGGATGCTTTAGTAACCGTATACTGCACCTCATTATGGTTTGGGCATGAATGTTCTAGTGACCGCATACACGGGAATACGAATTTCATATGAGTTTTGGCATGGATGCCTAGTAACCATATACATGGGAACATGAATGTTATCACGGTCTGGGCACGGATGCGCTAGTAACTAGTAACCGTAGACATGGGAACACACATGTTATTATGATTCGGGCATGGATGCGGCGGCAGGCTGCAGCAGGAGCAGCAGGAGCAGCGGTGCAGCAGCTGCAGCAGCAGCAGCAGCAGCAGCAGCAGCAGCAGCGGTGGTTTAGAGCATCAATGCAGGATCAGTCTAGGGGCTGTTGTGATTCTGATGCGATTGGTCTGGTTGGCGTTTGCTTGTCGTGATTGTGCTGACAATTGCTGCTCTTTTCTTGTGGACGATGTATTTTCCTGTATTTGCTACTGTACAGGGCTCATCATCCTATTCCCCGGGGCTTTTCGATGATGGCCTATCGTTTCCAATTTGATGCCTACCACGCCAGGACGAGAGATTCCAATAAGTCCAGATTGCATTCTGACCCTGTGTCTATCTCCGCGTGCCTGGGGGTACTCCTGCTTCATGAGCCCCTATATTTCAGTTGCTCTTCAGGTCGGTTTCGAGCGAGGAAAGGGTTAAAATCATGTACCATCGTAGTACGAACTGCCCCAATCCCGTATTCCAGTTGCATTAGCTTCTCTATGACATGCAACCTTTGACTGCAAGAGACATTCAAGTGTTAGACTGTCAGCACGTGCAGCCGAGGCACACCGACAAGAAGGAGGGGACGTGGGTATGCATCCCAGCTTCTAACAGACTGCCCCCACCCAGTAACAGTCCTAGTA